GCAGAATTATTTGTTAAAGAAGCCATGCCCAAGCAACACATCAACTTGTTAAAGCGTCTGCATTGCAGAAATTTATTAAAGCAGTTTGACACCACTTTAACTGCCCTGGCTCAAGACTATGGAATTCTGGGATTTGCAGTTTTATGAGATATTTAGCCTTTTCTGTCAGAGAGCTCTAGTACCACAAAGCAAACTGCAGATCCTAGGAATCCATAGGATGGAGCCATGGCAATTAAAGTGGTGTCAAACTGCATTATTTCTGTAGTGCAGATTCAGGCTGGATCCTTCCCCTTCTCCCTTAATCCTCCGCCTGGCTCCCTTCCTCATCTCCCTTCATCCTCCGCTTGGCTCCCTTCCCCTTCTCCCTTTGTCCTCCTTCTCCTCCTCCTCTACCCCTGACTTTTGAGACCTTTTTCCAGGGTTAAAAAGTGGTCTTATACGCTGGAAAATACGGTAGTAACTAGTATGTAATTAAACAACAACTACTGTTGACAGCATTTTGTTCCCACTTGTTTTGTACCTTCTGAAATGTAACTTTGTTAATTGCTTCTGTGTGCCTTCCAGTCATTTCTGACTTATGGCAACCCTAAGGCAAACCTATCATGAGGTTTTCTGGGGCTGAAAGTGTGTGACTCAAATAAGGTCACCCAATGGGTTTCCACAGCCGTGTGGGGAATCAAACCCTGATCTCCAGAGTCATTGTCCAACACTCAAACCACTACACCATGTGAGATTGTTTGTTACTTGTTACTAAAAATGAAGAGTAACTTGTTAAAGATAACCACATTACTTGTAAATTATGCCTTCTAAAATCTGAAACAGATGTATTCACAAGTTTGGTTTAAGACAGTGGTGGCTGAACCCAGAATACTCAGGAGATATTCTGCGGCATACAGCTTCTGAACCTCAAGATTGCATCTAGCCTTCTTAATTGGGAGCTGTTGACAGATGTAATGAACCTATTACAAAGAACACACAATACGGGAGTGCTATGCCAAATTCCTCCTTCTCCTTATCCCCTACATGTATTTCAATTAATATGCTCAATCTATCTCCACCGTTACTAACAGGAGGAAGAAAAACATGCAGAGGATGGGTAGCCATATTAAACAAGAATACAAATAAACAATATTGAAATAACAAGGTGAAACGTTGCAATACCCCAAATAAAACTAATGAAACTCAATTAGCAAATACAGAACAGAGCTCTACTCAAATTTATGTTTGAGGGTCTGGCATAAAGATACATGTAAAGTTGGCACTAAGCATGCTTCTTGTAGGAATGCATACCACAGTTGGGACACCATAACATAACAGGCCATACTCAAAGAATTTTCTTTCATAATTACAGAATGAGAGTGGCCTTCAGTTCTGGCTCAATTCCAAGCTATCTGAACGACTGTGTCTCTTTCTCTATGAGCCTACCTGCCTGAGCCCTGAGGTCATCAGGAGACACCTTTCTCTCAGTCCCACTACTGTCAAAAGCATGGTTGGGGATGTGAGAGAGGGCCTTCTCGGTGGCTGCCCCTAGACTCTGGAACTCTCTTCCAAGAGAGACCAGAATGGCCCATTCCCTGTTGTCCTTCCTTCAGCAGAGAAAGGCATTTTTATTCTGACAGGCTTTTAAAATGGCACATTTTTAAAGAATAGGTTAAAGGTGCTGTGCTCTGTTTTTTATTTTTTAATGGTATTTCATTTTTTAAATTTAGTTTTATACTGCACCGGGTTGATATGAGAACAGACCTCTATTGCTTGAAGACACTGTTGCCAGGTAAAACAGGATTAGGGGACTGTACAAATCAGTTGCAGATACTTAACTATAGACTATGCATCCATAACTGTGTAACTACAATAGTGA